CAAAGAAATGTGACTGATATAAACACACGCTGGACTACAATACATAGGACAACTAAAAACAAAAGGCAGGCACAGCCTTAATGTCAGCTAGGGTTTCCATTCTGAGAAGTGAAATTTTCTTGCTAAATTAATCTTCCCCCTGCATTTTCTACACCAACAAACCTTCGCATTTCAATGACAAACAAAAACATTTTAAAGGAATGTTTATTTCTTCTAGTACCTCAAGTATAAGACCATGCTGCAAACTCCTGCTGGATTTTCCACATGTTGATACACACAAACCTTGTTTTGAAGTTTATTTTGGCATAGCAGAATAGAGTAACAAGATGAAGTGCATAAAAACAATCATGTATTTCACAAATGCCTCACAGAGAAGAAGCATTTTATAGTTAAGGACTCCTTAGAGTAAAGCTGTTTTTGTGGGAAGGCTCTTGTGCTCTAGGGATATGCATTTTACAGCATAGGTGCACAAACTAACAACATTCATAAAATACTTCTTGTACCCCTAATCTGAAAGAGAGACTGACACAGAAGAATCAGTAAAGTTTTATAAATTTCTTTGTACAATCTTCCCTTTCTATGAACAACTGACCTGCATTCCAGCTCTATTCCTTGTATTTGCAACCTGTTCTTAGAAAAAGATCAAAACTAGGCAACAGACATGACTATACCAGTGGCATGGTAAGAATTCCATGAGACAGAGTTAATTTTTAACCTCATGTGGGCAAAGCTGGCAACCCTAACAATTTTTTTTAATGCTGCACCTACTGAATTGCACCTCCACTCTAAGACCTGGTTTAAAACTCTTTAAAACCTTACACTGAACTTTGCCACACAGGACGAGGGATCAGACTTTGCATCAGAGGAGAGACAGAGACTCCTGTTGAACAACATGAACTCAAACAATCACTTTCTTCAAACAGGCTTGTACATATCTCACAAAGACAACCCTGTCTCAGCCCTATCTCATGACCAGAGAAATTCCCTGTTTGAGGAAGCAGTCAGTTTACAAAGAGAAGAGCACTCTTCTGATAACAGGAATTGCACTAGTATCACTTTTAACAAACTCGTCTGCCCTTTTTCCTTAGAACACACCAGACCTCGCCCCATGTCAGGAGTTCTACCTTGTTTACTAATATCTACCAATTAACCTAACCATAACTCTCCCAAAGACTTGCTTCTTCTCAGCTGCTCCCATCCTATTTCACTCCCCCTCAAGAAGGCATCCCTCTGCCTGTATGGTGAGCTGAAAAGATAAATTTCATTCAGAAGTTAAAAGGTTTTTCCCCATTTGTGCTCTCATACTCCCAAACCATTCTCCCCATGTCACCGTGTGCCCTCCCTGCCACAAAACCTGCTCTTCCACTCCATAACTCGCACAACTATTCACACGTTCTTCAAGCCATACACCTGATGCTCAGGTGCTACTCTGAGGAGCACCCTGTAGACACCTACAGAAATAGAAACAGCAGAGGACTTCCAGCTGCAAAGGAGTGTTGGTGATTCATGACACCCAACTTGCTCATTGTCCAAGCCTGGAGATTTCAAAAACTCTCATGTTTTTCAAGTCTCCAAAGTTGGTCTCTGAGCTTTGTTAACTCCCTCAGCAAGCTCAGCCTGACTAAAGCATTTCAGCCATCTCCGAGACTTTGGGATAGGTTAAAAGCAACAACCATTACATCCTGGCTCTTTGGAATGGGACCTTTCCTTAGCAGGATTTTTTACCTTTGTATCTACCACTCCACACAGGCTTTCCAAGACAAAGTTTCAAAGGCACTTGAAAAGGCTTCCTCCAGTTAATGGTTTTGGGAAGTTTGGCAGGTGGGTGTTGAGACTTGCCCACCAGTAGCACTGCACATGTCCAACAGCAGTGGCAGCTCCCTAGGACAACTCCTGGCCTATATATACTTCCCAGTGAACTAGCAACCTGTAACACTGAAAATTACAGGTTTTGGTCACATGCATGGAGATCAAATAGAGGGCAAGGCAAGTGAAAAGCACGCTGAGACAACTCAAACTGACAGGCCACCAAGTGCTTCATGTTTCCCCAGAGCCAACAGAAAGAACTCTTGTTTTCCTTCCTCTGCAGCAGGAAGAACAGAGTATTTCCTCTCCCTCTTTTCTTGTGGGTTTTCTAGTGTAGGTCACCATTCTGTAGGGAAGGGGAAATTTCAAAGTTTCAAGCCCCAAAGTTTGGAAGAGAGGCCTGTATGAGACTGCAACTGCTGGGCCGGCTGGGAACAGACAGGCTCGCAGATGACGCAGGCGTGGCATGAGCCCAATTATTCAGGGATACCCTGATCCAACCGGTTCACTTTCAAAACCTAAACTGGCTTGTAACAGCAGCAAGAGCTTTCCTGTTCTCATCCTTCTTCCCAGCAAGAAATTAAATGTCATGGTGGACACATTCAGGGGTTAACTGTTTATAAATATCTTTGCTGAGATCACTATACCATGAACAAACACAGAATACTTTGATGGACAAAAATATTAAATCACAGGGAAGGGTATACAAGTCAAGGCCCTGCGCAGCAAGTTTCCCAGCACTGTACCAAGCACTGACATCCAGGCACTCTGCAAAAAGGCTCTGCTCCTTCTACCAGTGTTACAAGTGTGAAACCATCTTCAGAATACATTTGGGCAAAGTACTTTAAATTAGTACTACTACAGAATTTTTGGACACAAACAGCCACCACTCCCTGGACAAAGAGGAATTACTACATGAAAATATGAACTAGACTGGATACAAGCTGCTAAAAAGTTTCCTTGCTTTGGCAAAACCAAACACATAAAAACATAGTAATACAAACAAATAAACAAACCCAGTAATATGTAACAATGAAAGCACTCAGGGCTCTTACAGTTCCCTTCAGTTTAATAATCTCAACAACATCTAAAGAATACTAGAAGAGTTCAGGGTTTATGTGACAAATAGGCAATAGTTAATTTTTAAATGTAATCAACTAAGAAAAACAAATAACAATTTGAGATAAAAAAAAATCAGCATTACTTTTCCTTGAATGCATCGCATAATTTCCACAATTTTACATAGTTTTCTTTACATCTTTAAGAGTTTTCTCTCCCTAGTTGTTTGTTTAGATTTGGATCACTCACAGAACAAGTCTTAGAGGATCCTGGCCTCCAGGACATTAGGACAAATTCCTATTCCTTTTATGTAACCCTCTAGCAGTGGAGAGAGGGACTGCAAATACAATACACTCACTGTTATCAGATGGTGTACATAAGAGACTCTTTTATACGTGAAAATTAGACTCCATAACAAACTAACAGGCTCTTCAGAAGAAGTAGTGAAACCATGTTTACAACAAATGCTGTCAAATATCATGGCTAGGCTTCATGACGAAGATTTAGGAAGGCTCTATCCACATTTGTTACAAGCATGCTGGTGGCTAATGAGGCCAATATGAGATAGACATATCTGATTGCAAAAGGCACAGCAGAAAGACTCCTTAGGTGGTATATTCTGCAGGACACGATTCTTTCTGCGTTGTCTTTACTACAACAAGCAGAGCAAAATAGGCTATCACTTGTTTTGCACCAAAGCATCTAAAATACAACTTTTTAACTGCAGTGCAGTCTTCTGAATGTGAATGTTTGGAGACACTATTTGGATTATCTAGAACATTTTTTAAATTCAAGCACTCCCACGAGGATCATTTAAAGACTACAGGAAACTGCCTTGTACACAATAAAATCTGGAAAACATAAAACACACTACTGCAAGGCAGTCTATCTCCTCTGCCGCATGTTCTGAAGCACCGTGTCAGAAGTGAAAATAAGAATAACATCAAGAAAGAACACGTTGCCTTGTTCCTGACAAGACAGAGAACATGTTTTACCCTCAAAGTTTCATCCTAGCTTGCCTCGTGTGTGCGTGAAGTCTGAGCTAGATAAAATTAAACACCCACTTTCGATCTTCAGCCTTAAAGAGGCAAAGGCCTGGTACTGCTCCCTCTGTTTAAACTTGAAACTTTAAACTTGGTTTCAAGTGAGAAGCAGAACCAGGACTGTGACACCTGCAGCCGACCAACTCTGTATGTGAAACAAACCTTGCAAACATCAGCAGGAGGGTGGGTGCGATGACCCAGGCAGAAAACAGCCGGGTCCTGAGCTCCTGAACAGGCAGCTGCAGCAACAAGGAATTCACCAGCTTCCAAAACACGGCACAGCCCCTCCACAGTCCAACTCACCACCGCAGGACTCACCACCGAGGAGAATCCAGAGCACAAAGGCGGCGGACAACTAGTTCGCTAAAACCTTTCTTTTTTCCCTTTTCCTTGCTCACTCTGGATTACCAGGATCAACATAAGCCGGAGGAGGAGGCTGCAACCCCGGCATCTGCTCTGGAGACAGACCCAGCCGCCCCGTGTGCCAGCAAAACTCTCTCCCTTTCCATCCCCCGGAGATTTGCCGACACAAGGGCAAAGCGGGATTAGGGGCAAGCGGCAAATATTTGCCTGTCAGCACTTTATAGCGGGGTGAGGGCACGGACACGGGAGGGTGTTTGGTTTCCAGCAGGGTGACTCCGCTCCTCCTACAGCCGCAGGAGGGGAGAAAACAGAGGACGGTGTTCATGTCGGTTTAAAGTCATCCCTCACCAGGTGGACACGATGACAGGGGCACTGGCTCTGGCTGGTGGCCGATGTCCGCCTCGGCGGTGCCCCTGAGGGCCGGGGAATCTCCGTTCGAGGGGTATCCCAGGCCAGCAACCAGAGCCCATGCCGGGCTGATGTGCCCCTGCCCTGCCCGCGCTCACCCCGCCACAAGGCCGACCCCGGCACCCCAAAGGCCGCCGGCATCTCTCTCCCCTCCGGGGCTCCACCCCTCGAAACCCAGCTCCGAGCAGCAACAAGTGGAAGCCGCTGAAGTTACTTCCCCCCCGCCCCCGCTCCCTCTGGCAGGCGCTGCCTCTTCCCCCCCGGCCCCGCCGCGCTCCCCCGGCGGCTGTGCGGGAGGTGTCGCTCGGTACCTGCGCGGCCGCCGCCGCCATGTCGCGGAGAGGCGGCCCGGGGTGAGGCTCCGCCGCTCCCCGCCCGACTACAACTCCCGTGAGGCCGCTGGACGGGCCTCCCCACCCCCGGGGCGGTGGCTGGAGCCCCGCCCGGGACTCCCGGAGGCCGTGGGGGGGAAAGGTCTGTGGTGAAAACAGAAGGGGTTTAAGTGGCTGTGGGGGGGAAAATCGCTGCTTTCGGCTACAGCTGCAGGGTTGGGGTGGTTTCCTCTCAGGAGGTGTGTTGCTGGTACCCTCAGAAAAGGTCACTTTTTACAGAATTACAGGATTGTTAGCGATGAAAGGGACTTCTGGAGATCACCCAATCCAACCCCCCTGCCAAGGCAGGGTCACCTCGAGCAGGTGACACAGGAACGCATCCAGATGGTTTGGAATGTCTCCAGAGAGGGAGACTCCACGACCTCCCTGTTTCGGTGCTCTGCCACCCTCAGTGGAAAGAATTTCTTCCTCATGTTGAGGTGAATTTCCTGTGTTTTAGTTTATGACCATTTCACCTCATCCTATTGCTAGGCACCACCGAAAAGATTTTTTTCATATGATAACTTTTGGTTGTTTGTTTTAATACAATAACTTTGTAATATAATACCAACTTTTGCTTGCTTTTAGGACTATTCAATATGGATCGGGTTTTTTTTTTCATTTTTTTTTTCTTTCCTGGTTTGCTAGATGAGTTCATCAAGCTCTTTGCATGGACAACTGAAGCAAATGTGAAAGTCAGGTTCAATAAATCTAGCAGCAGATTTCCCCCTTCTTCCCTTGTTGGCTGGCAGAAGGAAAATCCTCATCCCTAAGATCAAGGGACAAGACGACATACTCTCAAGCTGCGCCAGGAGAGGTTCAGATTGTACATCTGGAAGAATTTCTTCACAGAAAGGGTAATTAGACACTGGAATGGGCTGTCCAGAGAGGTGGTGGAGTCAGCACCCCCAGAAATGTTTAAGAAAAGACTGAATGTGACACTTATTGCCATAGTCTAGTTGTCATGGTGGTGTTTGGTCAAAGATTGGACTCGATGATCTCAGAGGTCTTTTCCAATGTGAATGCATCTGTGATTCTGTGAAAGATGTAGGTAGGGATTAATAAAGGCCATGGAAAGTAAAAGACTGGGAGAAAGCGAGTTTGAAACTGGAACAAGAGGGTGCTTTCTGAGCCAGGGTGTGGGGGGTATGTGGGGCATGGGCTTCCTAACACTCCCAGCACACTATCTCCCAGCACCGAGCTCCTTCTACAAGCAGACTGTTTCCCCTCTTCAGATTTTAACCCTCCCATAAGGCATATGATTCTCTGAAAGGACATTTCTTTCACAGCATCTGAAATAGTCTATGCTGGTTTTATACTTGAAGTGTACTGGAAAACTAAGCTCTTTTGTTTGTTTTTTTTTTCTGCATGGCTTTGGGAAATGAATGATTTTAAATAAAACTTGTGAGCAAGCAGTTTGTCATCAATTCTTGCCACAATGCTTGTGACTTTATTAGTTTCATGAACTTCAGCTTAGGCAGCCATAAGATCAAAGCATCCCATTTTCAAGACTCTTGAGGAAATGCATTTTGTACATAGTCACTGTACACGGTTTCCATTGTCCTCACTTTTTCATCCTCCATGCAGAAGAATGACTAAGTGACCTTAAGTTTTGGTGATTAATCTAATGTATAGTTTTTGAATAGCTCAAAAGCATTTTAATGTCCTCAGAAATACAGGTTATAAGGCTTCACATGTTGCAGGCACATGACTTGTGAAATGCAATGGAATGCCTTACATAGTTTGGAAGGAACTTTCAAGCTGAATTTTCTTGGCATGCTTTGCTGAATCATGCAGCACAGTGCCAGGAGCACCTACTGAAAACAAATGTTTGTTTTCCATTGATCTGTAGACAACTGGCTGTCTTCCAAAAGTAATCTCAGAGTCATCAGATGCAAATAATGGTAAATCAAATCCCATATAATTTCACTGCAATGGATTTTTTTTAACGTATTTTCAAAAAGTCAGTGTGCAATTCTACTTTTCATTTAAAAATAATCAGTTAGAATGAATTGTTCCTCCTTTTAATTATGTCGTGACAAACTACTTTCTGAAATATTTAATTATTGACATTAATTATTGAATCATTGCCTGTTTACATACACATCAATTTCTTCAGTGGAAAATATGCTGTTTCCAACAGCTGACCAACACTTCCTTATAATTTTCTATATTTTCTCATTTCTCAGCAATAAAAGAAGTTCAAGATTTTTCCTTTTTGGAAACTGCATTAGAAAAAAATGCGTTATCTGTTCCAGGTGTGATGCTTTCCTTTATTTTTATTCTGATAAAATTTGTTTAATAACTTCTTCATAAACTGTGGTAAGCTGGATGGAGATTATTATCAATTTTACTTGCTTGGGAAAGGCAATGTCAGTCATCCCAGCAAAAGTAAAGCCTTTGTTGGGAAAAATCTTTTCACTACTCGGTGGAATGTAACACAGGTAGCCACTTCAATCAACTCAAATAACTAAATTGCTGCTTAACATATATTAAGGATCCTTAAAGATCGTGTTTACGTTCTGTTCCATATTGCTGAAATGTAGGCCAAGATAAATATTTCAGGGCTGAAACTGACTTCTGACATCAGAAGTTAAATCTAACATTAGATGCAGTTCTTTGAGAGTGATTCTGAAAATACAATTTCAATGTTGGCTGGTTTGGGTTTGGGTGGGTTTTTTTTTCCCATTTCACTAGATGTCACCATTTCTATACAAAGTTTGCAAATAAGTATAGAATCCTTTAGTTTTAATTGTGATGAAAAAATCATACACTGTCATCAACCATTTAATGCTGGCAACACTTTGGTACCTCATTGACTAGAGCAGGTCTTTACCAAACCTTCTAAATAACTAGGATCTATTAAAAAAAAAAAAGTCAAAACAAAAAACCAACCAAACAAGGAATAACAGAAATGTTATTCAGAAATAACAGGAATAACAGAGTAACAGAATAACAGAAATAACAAGGAATAACAGAAAAAAAAATGTGGTCTCCTGTGGACAGTAGATTCTGGAAATATTTCATCATGGTCTCGGAGTATGTGTCCATAGAATACATTCTTTCCATCTGTCTCACATTATTGTTACATGTGCTACATATTTTCTTTAGAGTTTGTAAAGAGTTAGTTGATGTTATATAATGACTGGAGAGGGTTTTGCTTCCTCTAGGCGCTTGAGGTATTTTATGAGAGTAGAAAACTCCCAGTTTCCCTGGTCACCCTCAGTGGATTAACATACCATTGTAGCTAGACTGAACAACAGGCTGCTGTTCATCATCAGAGACCTTCTTTGACTGTGGGGAGAAAGCTTTGGAAGCACTTTTTGCATTTGATTGCATTCTGTTTTGAATAGGTGGACAAATAATTGTCAGTAAGTATAAAGCTGGAAACAGACAACATAAAAAGAAACAGCAAAGCTCTGGAAAACCTCTAGAAGCAAATATGGCATTTTAGACAAGATGGCTGAGGAGCTTGGAGGAGTATTCTGCTAATATCATGTCAGATTCTGAGACTGACTTCCACCAGAGCACACTGGGCTTAGGAGTTATCACTGCTTAGGGCTGGCTGCATTTCACTCCTGTGCGGACAAAGTAGGTACCAAGATTTTGAGCTGTTGGTGCTGATTCAGCTGAATCAGCAATGATATGGGAGAGCCAGGATGTGGACTCTGAACTGTGCAGTTTAAATGAACCCAAGTCTCCTACGTGCATGTAGATGGATGGCACACGGATAAAGAGCACACTAAGGTTTGGGAGATTAAGAGCTAATTATGGTGACTGGAATGATACCCCCATCAAGAAACAGAACTTGACCTTATAAAGCAGCATTGTTTGGAGGTATGAAACAAACTCAACAAACTCAAAAATATTTTAGTTCTGTCACCTCAGCAGTTCCTGAATATGGAGAGAGTACTCTACTCCCTGCACTTTCCTGTGTTCTTCTTGGTTTCTTGCTTCACTGGATGAGCAAGGGCATTTTGAACTGCTGAGTAACCATAAGGAGAAGATAAAATAGAATTTTATTTATGATTTCAATAAACTCAATGTTTGGAAATTATATATAAATGAAGGTATCCTGACTCTCAATGAAAATATTTCCGGCAGTAAGAAGTGCATGCTGTGCTTTGCCAATGCATTGCACATATTATGAGTCTGATTCTTGCAAAAGCAAAATTATCATTGATTTGAGTAGGATGCTTTCTTAAACATGTGGATTTTAAGTTTGCTTGTTTTGTTTAAGACAGTTTGCATTAGTCATGGAAAGGATTCATTTGGTTACCTGCCTTAACCCTTACCAGTGAGGATTTTCCCTGCTGGCAGATCACTGACTGATACAGGCTCCCATGGCTGCACAGAAGGTGGGAGCTCCAACAGGCTATAGCAGTGAGGGTCAGTTTTGTGTTAACCTGCCAAAAATACAGGTAGGGAAGGGCCTAATCCAGCTAAGCTGCTTGTGAGAGAAGCTGTTGCTCTGCCATTCCCGCTGGGTGGAACTTAATGTGTACTTAACCAGAGCAGCAGGAGCGTATCTATTTAATTGTAACTTGAAATTAAGGTTAGTGGTGCCATCCTGCATAAAGGCACCCCTGACACTATACAGTAATTGTAGTACTGTCGTTGCTCAATGTGACACTGCTCCCCAAATAGGCTTCCAAAAGCAATTAGTTTCTCCTTTTTCACTTCACAAACTTCTCTCTCTCTGTTCTGCATTTACTCAGACCACATAATAGTTGATTGATTGAAATTAAACATTCAAGGTCCCAAGCATGATGTTGTATCCAGAACAGTCTGTTTTTTCCAAGCATCTGGAGTTCCCAGAAGGAGAGAGATGCACAGAACGCCAATCCCCAGACATATCCAGTGGCTTTAGTAATACAAATCTTTAATGGCATATGTGTATGAGCAACAACATATTTCCCAAATCTTCGTTCGCGAAGCCTAGCCATGATTTCCACTTGACAGTGGATATAGCTCCAAGTGCCTTACAGGGAGTTGGCGTACATGACGTATGAGGAGACTAGATTGGTTGGGATATGTTTAGTCCCAGGAAAAAAAAAGGCTTAGCGGAGATCTGTTGGCTCTTTTCCATTACATAATGCGAAGACAGAGAGAAGGCAAGGGAAAATGCAATGTCACCAGGTTGCAGGAAAAGAAATTTTATTCGTGTAGAAGGAAAGAAATCCACCCTAAGAGTTGTTAAGCATTGGAACAAGGACCCAGAGGAATTATGGAGTCCCTGTTCTTAGGGATCTTGAGAATTTGACCAGACAAGGCCCTGAGTAACCTTTGCTGACAGGAAAGACAAAACTTCTGTGAGCAGCATGGAGGAGTGCATGACCTCAAAAAGTCTCTTCCAAGCCAAATTAAGCTATGAAAATTCATAATTACTTCTTCAATTAAAAATAACTTTTTTGTAATAGACAGTTATCAAAGGCTGAGAACGGTACTTACAACGTAGTATTCCATTGAATTTCTGAATGTTTATTAGTACCACTTCATTATATCAGGAGGCAAAATATCCACATTCTGACTTACTTTGGTTATGGCAGCAATACAGTCAGGTAATATTAAGCATCCCCTTTACATGCTCAGATACACTGTAACAAAATATACTCAAGCAACAAATAGATTAAAATAACTTGTTAAAAACTGGGCAGAACAGGATCATTTCAGTCTTCCATGCTTCTGTTATACTTCTCAACTTTTTAAAGATAAATATAAAATGTATTGACAGTAAAGATTTCAGTGTTGTGTGGCTCTTGGTCTATGAGTTGAATGACAGCTTGTTGAAATGATGTAGGTGCACAAGGCCTTCTTATGCTCATGGTCACAGTATTTTCATCTTGTAGAGCTTTGCTGGTGCCTGTGAAGTGGTCCTGGCTTACCAGAACAGAAGAAGAATTTGGACTCTTTTGTCCTTCAATAGGTTATCTCTGCTGTTGAGTCCCCAATCCAAAGTCTCTTGAAGTGCATAGAGGCAAGCACATTAATTTCAAATGTTTCTTATCAAGAGACAAGATCCAAAGGCAAGTCTCTACCATAGCCAGCAAAAATGACAACTTCTACTTTTCTGTGGTTTGTTTGAACATGAGTGAGTTCCCCTGTGGTGTTAATTAGTAACCTCTCTAATTTCTTAAGTTTTAGTCTGTAACTGTAGTAATGGGATACCAGGACTGATCTGTTCACAAAGGCTCATCTGATGATAAGGGACATAATATGATCACTTTGTTCTGGCAAGTAAACTGAAGCACAAACTAGAAACCATGGGCAAGCCCTAGGAAGACTATTTGGGACTATGTCATATATGTTTGCCCCATTCTTAGGCTTTTCCTTAGGTATTATTGCTTCTGGATTTACTCATAAATAGGATATTGTACTATGGGCATACTTGAGTTTTTACTTTTTGTAAACTATAAAACAGCTGTGA